GGACGCGGATATAATCTTAATGGCGTACGCGTCCATCAACACACCAGCGAAACACGTGGCGTCATGTGTGACACAGTCAGATTTCGCTGTGCGCGACATGTTATAATACTTGGAACCTACTTACAAGCATGTTCTTGATCAATCTTTTCTACTCGCTTTAGAAGTGCTGTCCGACCGATTTAACTGATTATTCGCACTGATAGCTAGCTGTACAGTAATTGGATTCTGAGGATGGGCAGAGGGCGGGGTCGGAGGAGGGGCTGCCAGCATTTGGAAGTGCCCATCATGGAAATGAAATGAAATTCAGATTTGTTGCATATGACAATTTCTGTGGGAAAAAACTCTCGCCAAGTCATTAATTTAGATTTTATCAAAGTCCTTGTCAGAACATCGCCTGCAACTTGACTGGCGTTTGCAGTATTTTCATTTCCATTTTAGAGCGATAAATATAATATACGCGAAATTCATCTTTGTAGAATTATAATTTGTGCCCCTAGAGATGATCAAATAATCAGCGGCGGTTATGTATTGGCAAAATATGAGACGAGATATCAGCGTCCTCGTGATAGATTTACCCACTGTCATCCCAGTTTATAGCCTAAAGTGACTGAGGTAGAAAAGCATGCAGTGTCCTAAATCTCAAGCTCTGGAGGGTACATAAGATCGACGGAAAGTGACTGAGGGAGAAAAGCATGCAGTGTCCTAAATCTCAAGCTCGGGAGGGTACATAAGATCGACGCGGTCAATACAATTGTTTTTTCAAAGACAGAATAGTTTTGATGTATTTGAATGTTAAATTGAAAGACTTGCAATTGGTGGAATTTTTTTGTCGTCATGATTGCTTAAACCAAAAAAGTCGGCCAGAGGAGGGGCACAGTTTCTTCTCATAGGAATGCCTCCTTACTGATGGAAAATCTTGCCATCGGACTTAATAAAGAACTCAACCAGGAACTCATTCATTCTCACAATTTCAACATCTGATAATTTATCTAAGCCTTAGTGGTGCTTTTCAGAAAATATGCTCAAAAATTATTAACAACCATGTATTTATATCGCTGTTTGCCCTTCTTTTTTAAAAGAAACCTCTCATAATAAGAAAAAGAAGGCGTTTCTTCTGATTGGTATAAGGACCGATAGTGTAAAGGCTTGGGGGGGAAATAGCTTGTTAGAAGAAACATTTTTAAGAAGAGAATATTCAAGATTGATGAAATGCACCGCCTGATATCATTTGCGAACCACATCGTGGTAGGGTGGGCATTGGAATTTAAGAATGTCGCCTTATTTTGCGTAGCCTCGGAAGACGAGACATTTTCAATGCGAGGGGGAGCCTCTGATTTGGTCTCGAACTTTTGATGTTTCGCATTTTCCGGACAACAAACTTATTCCCCGTTGGTTGTGGTAATATCATTGCTTAAAGTCAACATGAAAAATGTATTGCACTACGTGTTACAAGGTCTTTTTTATGTGGAAAACGTGATTTCCCCTGTTTTGTACTTGACATATACAGAGCATCCTGGATATAATCTAATCTTTTATTTTAGTGAAAACACATATTCACTTTTAACTCTCGACAAAATTATGTGTAGGCACGTGCCTACTCGAGCCTAAGGCAGCTACGCTACTGGAATTTTACCAGCAAGTAGACTATGAAATATATCTGATAAGGCTCCCTGCTTCCAAACATCCGTTCGGGCTTTAAAATGTCCGGTTGATTTGCGCATAATTTCAATTATGTTACATTTCAAGAAAAAAAGTTGAGATTTCAGAAATCTCATTCAATAATGCATGGTCAAAAATGTCTAAACAATATCAAGGAATTTGAAAATGAATTGAAATTATAAAGGTGGGTTTATTTTGATTTCTTTCATGCAACCTTCACCCGCAACGGCCTCGCGCAACTCAACGGACACAGCTATTATTTCAAGATTTTCTGATAGCGAATTTCCCCTTCTCGAAAGTAACATCCGAGCTTTCCCAACTTACGGACGTTACATTTTGCAGCTCAGGGCTTGCTCCGAAAATAATGATTTACAGGACACATATCGACGGCAGACTGACACCTACGTACACAGCTACAACACAGGGTTGTACACAGCTATAACACAGGGTTGTACAAAGCGATAACACAGTTACAACACAGGGTTGTACACAGCCATAACACAGTTACAACACTGGGTTGTACACAGCTACAACACAGGGCTGTACACCGTTACAACACAGGGTTGTACACAGCTACAACATAGGGTTGTACACAGTTACAAGACAGGGTTGTACACAGTTACAACACAGGGTTTACACAGCTACAACACAGGGTTGTACACAGTTACAACACAGTTACAACACAGGATTACACAGCTACAACACAGGGTTGTTCACAGCTACAACACAGGGTTTTACACAGTTACAACACAGGATTGTACACAGCTACAACACAGGGTTGTTCACAGCTACAACACAGGGTTTTACACAGTTACAACACAGGATTGTACACAGCTACAACACAGGGTTGTTCACAGCTACAACACAGGGTTTTACACAGTTACAACACAGGATTGTACACAGCTACAACACAGGGTTGTTCACAGCTACAACACAGGGTTTTACACAGTTACAACACAGGATTGTACACAGCTACAACACAGGGTTGTACACAGTTACAACACAGGGTTGTTCACAGCTACAACACCGGGTTGTTCACAGTGAAACGGAGGTTGATGAAGACTATGTGTAAGTTTTACGGTCACCAACTTTGTATCATTGGAAATCCTTTTTCCTTATGCTACATGAATGTCAATGTTTTTCATACTGCTCATCAGTGTGCCTTACTGTTTGGTTGTCACTACCCCGGTTCTAGCATTGAGAACGTGGCATTGCTTGGATTTACCCCCGGATGACTTGAATGTCGATGAGCAGTAAAAACATAATAAAAACTTTGATTTTACCTCAATTTCAATGGCGGGTGTTGTCAGATGACGCAGAATACCTTGCCCTGGAACAGCTGGTCTTATTCTGTGTGTTTTTAAGGGGTTTCCATGTTAATTTTACCTAGATTGTCATGGCGGGTGTTGTCAGATGACGCAGAATACCTTGCCACTCTGGAACAGCTGGTCTTATTCTCCGTGTGTTTTTAAGGGGTTTCCATGTTAATTTTTAATTTGTATTGTGTCCTAGTTTTATCGATTTTTAGTTTGAATTACGTTTTCTTTACTCTTTGATATTAACATGAAATTCTTTGACCACATCGATTGTATATACCCTCCAGAGCTCTAAATCAAGAACACCACTTTATCTTTCAACTTCAGCCGCTTTCCTCGACCTTTACAACATGATCAACAGGGAGAGCTTACTACCAAGCTGTTCGATAAGAAGGGCGATTTCGACTTTCCGATCGTGAACATTCCCTTTCTTGAAAGCAACGTCCCTGCTTAGTCTACATATGGTGTTTTACATTTCGCAGTTGATTCAGTACTTAGGAGCTTGCTACGAATATCATGACTTCCGTGATAGATGTCGACTGCTGACAGACACACTTACAACAGTGTTTTCAAAGAAGTTTTTTTGTCACCATCAGAATCTCTCGGGAAATATGCTATTTCTTTGTGTGATATGAAGGTCGATCTTTTTATTGTGCTCACTGGAGTGCCTTGTGGCTTTGTTGTCACTACCAGAGTTCTCGATGAGGAGATGTCACATTTACTTGGATTCAACTTAGGTTTACATGGCGGGTGTCAACAGAAGCAGAAGACGCTTACCCTTCTGGAACACCTGGTCTTATTATCTTTGTACTTTTTCAAAGATCTCCGTGTATATCTTTCCTTTAACCATATTTTGCCCTAGTTGATCATTTTTGAGTTCAAATTATGTGTTTGTTGACACCTCGGTAATGTCTTGTTGTTTCTAAAACCCTTGGCTAACACATGTTCTCTAATGTGTATTTTTCTACCTTCATTTAATTCCACAGGGGGGATCTGAAATCGACCTTTAATTTCATAACAATGTGGATAGAAAAAAGTTCCATACATTTTTTATCCTAACATATCCAAATGTGCATACTGTACAGCAATTTTTTTTTTATATAAAGTTGTTTCTAAGTGATCCAATCAGAAGACATGTCAGCCATCTTGAATTTTCAATTGACCAAAAATAGAAACTTTTCATTTGATAATTTGATATGTCAAAATATCTTATGATCATAGTTTTCCCATTCAGGGGAGGATCTGGTCAGACAAACCAGAGAAGGAACAACAACAAAGAAAAACAATCCCTGATTATTGATTATACCTAATACAGTGTGTGATAACAGTCTCTGAGAACTTTTGATTAAACTTCACTTGAAACAAAAAAAGAAGAAGAATAAAACGTTCTCAAGTTTCATCACCATGATTTATTAACAACATTATTGGGTTTTGAGAAAACCCAAATAAAGCAACAGCACCCCATACTTTTAACCCATCATCTTAAAGCCAGCACTAGTAGGTGTGTCCTAATATGCTAATGAGGACAATGCATAACCATTATTCCCTTGCAGCACTGATATTTTTTCAATGAAATTAATTATCAGTATAATTCCTCCACTGACCAGGTATAAATGATTATGTGCTATATGGTAAAGGGCACTCAACAACAGTGCTGGGCGTGTCCTTATATGGTAAAGATCACTCAACAACAGTGCTGGGCGTGCCCTCATATGGTAAAGATCACTCAACAACAGTGCTGTGCATGTCCTTATATGGTAAAGATCACTCAACAACAGTGCTGGACATGTCCTTATATGCAAATGAGGACACAGTTTTTGTTTCCTTTTATGCAAATGGGCACATATGCAGCACTGATCAATGTGTCCTAATATACAAAGGACATAAATCCAGCTCTTGTGGGTGTATCTTAATATGCAAATGAGGAAAACCCAGTACTGCTGGATTGGTCTTAATTTGCATTGAGAACAGTGCAGACAAAACATTTCATTACGTGCTTGGTGTGTAAGGATGCAGGACGCATTATCCCCTGCTCAGCTATTGATACAGCCAGGAAATAGGTTCCTCTGCTCAGCTATTGATACAGCCAGGAAATAGGTTCCCCTGCTCAGTTATTGATACAGCCAGGAAATAGGTTCCCCTGCTCAGCTATTGATACAGCTGCTCGGTTATTGATACAGCCAGGAAATAGGTTCCCCTGCTCAGCTATTGATACAACCAGGAAATAGGTTCCCCTGCTCCGTTATTGATACAGCCAGGACATAGGTTCCCCTGCTCGGTTATTGATACAGCCAGGAAATAGGTTCCCCTGCTCAGCTATTGATACAGCCAGGAAATAGGTTCCCCTGCTCGGTTATTGATACAGCCAGGAAATAGGTTCCTCTGTTCTTTCACAGTTTACTTCATGCATACTTCATCATTGAAAAATATTAGGTCCTAAAAACATCAAATAGTACAGTATTACATTAATTGGATGTGTTGTTGTAAGCACTGTGGAAGTAACACCGGTAATAGAAAGTAAAAACACAGTTTTAACACTTCATTGCTGTCCTTGTTATTCAATAACATGGATATAATGTTATAGAGAATATGTTTTGTTCACAGAGTACTACACAAACGGGCATATAGAATCAAGTCTGATCCTGAAGTCCCACTAATATTGTAATAAATAACTCCACGTATCATGCTACATAAACCCTAGTCTATCAGAATGGGACAGTTTGGTAGACAATGAACATGGCTCATACCAACATCATCTCTTAATTATGTTACCTGAAGCAAAAAAAATGTTTTTTAATATCAGTACTTCTTAAGCAACAAAACAAAGTTTGTCTGGGTTCATTTAGATATAACATCCCCCTCCCATCCCTTAAATGGTCAAGGGGTACCTTTGACCTTTTAACCTTGACCTATGTCTACTCAAGATCTTATCATGTGTAGAAGATGATGTTACAATAGTATGGTGTAGATATAAACTAAATCTGCTGAAGAGTTCGTGAGATATCTTATGTGCAGGTTTTTTTCTACAGACTGACAATGGACTGGTTACAGATGCACTGGAAAATAATGACAACATTCCCCCCGACGTAATTAGGGAGGGGGATATAATACGAGCATTGTGTACGACAAATATTCTGTTATATTCATACGAAAATATAAAAAGGACATCCCCTTTAGTTGTACATAGACAGCTTTTACGAGTGGAGACATTATCAACTACATCAGTAATAAGTATTGGCCTGATCATGTAACATATGGAAAATGACAATATTGCTTAAGCGGTAACAATATCAGCAAGCAGAGAACTTGGTTTAATGTAAAAACTGTCAACAGAACCCCAAGTCAAAAATACTTAGTCTCTCATTCAGAAGGTGACAGAGTACATACCGTACTAGACATTGAAACGTCACTTATAAACACTCATTGGTTGTGCTACATGAATCTGTTCTCAACTTAATCACTCGTGTGGTCATTCAATGGCTTTGTGGAAACTGAAATTTGTTCATTGCTAGGACTAAATTTAGTGTGTGTGTAAGGTCCATTTAGAAATGAGATAGCTTACAGAGATACTGATCAAAGGCAGTATCTGTCTCTGGTTATATCAAGACAAAGTGAACGGTGGCTCACATACCCATGTATGGTAAAGTGTGACCCTTTAACATTGACCGATTATTGCAAGAATAAAGTAAGGTGCAGAACTTGGTGTTGCCACACTGAAGTATGATATAAAGTAAGGTGCAGAACTTGGTGTTGCCACACTGAAGTATAATATACACTGGCGATAAATCTGTTTCTCCAGATATCTTGTATACAAGCTTTTACTTCACAAGTGGAAACTTGACCCTTTAACCTTGACCTATGACCACCACAACTTAACCGGAGGTAAAACTCTTTGCTACCACACTTTGGTGTAAAGAAACTAATCTGTTGAGTGGTTGGTGACCTTTGACCCCTAACAATTTTGACCTATAACCACCACAACTTAACCAGAGGTAAAACTCTTTGCTACCATCCTATGGTGTGAAGAAACTTACCTGTTAAGTGGTTTGTGATCTTTGACCCTTTAGCTTTGACCAATGACCCTAGAATATGGTATGACAAAATGGAAAGCACACAGCATTTTGATTGGTTTCGGGTGAAAAACATTCTGACCAATTGCTAGGCTGATACCTAGCCTTTGAAGGTTACAGAGCAGCAACATACGACATCATAGGAGGGCAGTGGGGACTACACTAAGGAGGGCCTGGTAAGCGCCCACTTACCCTCTCACGTCGACCAAACATCGACTTCGTCAGTGAAGTGTAGACAATAAACAACTCAACCAACCAACCAACATCTGACATCAAAGCCAGGAAGTTTATCATTATGCTAACAATTCTTTTTGATGTACATCAAAGGCTTAAACTGGTTTACTCGTATCATCCACACGGAGGCGCTTACAGAGCCTTCAATTTTCATTACAAATTCCAGGGGTTCAGAGAATGTAAGAGAGCATTTCTCTGGAATTTTCAAGGATGCTCCTTCACTAAATCAAGGGGGAGGTTAAATAAGATAAGGGGAAGGTTAAATTAGACAAGGGGGAGGTTAAATTAGATAAAATGTTTCCTATTTCATAGTAGTGCTTCTCTTTCCTTTTCCTGGAGGTAAATACTGCAACTGAATTAAACAGATAGACAGGTTATTTTATTTTTCGGTAGGATTGTAAGTATGTATTTTTCTTCTTATGTATAAAAGCAATGATGCTCCAATAGTAAAATTTATGAAAGGAAGACTTGTGACTTTACAAAAATATCAGGACAGATTCTTATTACAGTACTTCATACACCAGGAAATACTGCCTGTGGACTTCTCTACATGTAGGTAATAAAGCTGTTTTCAAATATTTTCATAGTATTCCGATTTGTGATTGTAACATGAAAACCTTTAAGTGTTAGCAGTTCTGCAAACATATTTATGTTAGTGTATGGCGGTTCTGGAAAAAATAAGAAAATCTAAGTTGGTCCAAAAAAAGAGTAGTTATAAAATCTTGTACCTTTTAACTGTAACATCACCAGCAATAAACCTGTTCCTGTCCATGTGTAATAATTATAACTGTTCAGACAACCAGTACCCCCTCCTTTGGACCAGGTGAGCTAACAACCAGTACCCGATCCTTTGGAAGACATTTTGGCATAATAATGAATCCCTCTTGACTTTCTCAAAATGCTGATGTAGAAATACATCATAAACCCATGAAGTATGCTAATGAGAGATACATACCATGACAACTAAAAATAAATATTTGTACAATGATCTGTAAGTAAATGTTAAAGTATAAATTATAATTTATTCTTACTGTCCTGAGAGAACAATCAACCATAATACTCTGGAAATTCAATTCAAAAAAAAAATCAACATAATATAAACTGTTAGTTAAAATTATCAAATACAAAATAATTTCTGTATTAATTGTAAAATGTTTGTAAATTTCAAAATGTTCAATTTGTCTGACAAAACAAGTGCACATAATAACACTTCTTAGTCGGTATGATGTGCACGTTAGTCTCAATTTGAAAGATAGAATGTCAATACAGGGTTTGGTAGCATATGATATCCTTCATTGACCTTCAATAGTGATGACTATAAAGATAGAATGTCAATACAGGGTTTGGTAGCATATGATATCCTTCATTGACCTTCAATAGTGATGATTATAAAGAACCAATTCCACAAACATGTCCATTAAAATTTAACAAGTTACACATTTTATAAATCTCCTCATTTAATCAATTTGGTTAAAGATTAGCTGTTGGTTTTGTCTGTTATTTTAAAAATGTCACCTCTGCGACTCGATTAACTGTTGTTGTAACTTTCATAATTTGATCAAAATATACCATTGTTTAATATTGGTGATATTTATTTTTACAACAGCATTCCCAGACACTTTTTCATGAGAATTTGAACGTGTTTGTCATCCTAGTACAACATATTAGCTGCTTTCTACTGACTCGGCGAGAGAGAATTTCTGTATAACTCATTTGATAGACCGTAAGTACAGCAGAGGTCCCAGGTGGAGGCATCGAAAAAAATAATAACCTCGGACAAATGTAAAAGGAACAGCAATAAATATATGTTTCTTTGTTAAGTGTCGGAACAATCATTTATGGGATATTTTAAATACAGATTGACTCCCTAACAATTTAATATTATGTATACCAGCATACTGTACATAACAGAGTACCACTCATCCTTTGCTGACTGAAATACGAGTCAAAATTACTGAGGGCTGTTCCATAATCGATAACATGAAGGAGGTGAGGCACCTCTATTAATATAGTATGGGTTGTGGGGTTAAATCCACATCTGCCTACCATTCCTTATATTAAATCACTTTTAACATTTTTAGGTGATCGGGTCTCTGAACAGTGCCTCCCACCCCTCCCCTTCAGTTAATTCTGGAATAGCCCTTAGGTTAACGCAGATTAAACATCATTAATTTGAATCCTTGTAAAAGAATTATTTTTCAAATATAAATGACATGTGTTCCAATGGTAACGACATTTTAGTTTATAATTAAGGAGTTGTTGGCCTTGAATGGTTTTAACAATGAGGCTCAAGTGCAGACATAAAGGACGCAATCTAAATCATAACTTCACCACGGGGGTTGTACCAAAACACCATGGCCAACTGTTGGCCACACACCACGGGGGTTGTACCAAAACACCATGGCCAACTGTTGGCCACACACCACGGGGGTTGTGCCAAAACACCATGGCCAACTGTTGACCACACAGAACAAGCTGGTTTGAGGAGGTAAGTTTTACAATGATATTTTTTCAGTATTTAGGATGCTTGGATTTAGTTCAGTAACAGATGAAATCACATTGAGGCTCCTGATCCACAAAAAGCCTGGAACTTGCAAGATTAGGAATCTACACAGCACTGGTCACACCATGAAGCAAAGAAGGCTATTGACTGATGCAGATCTTTGCCGAGCTGGTGTCTGTTGTGCAAACATTTATTTTCAATAATATGGTTAGAGTATAGGATTCACGAATCATCATCACTTCCTTCGCGACTATCCCCCGCATATCGATTGTCCTGTTCGAGGTCATTGTTACACGAGTCACGTGCCGTAATTTGTACAATTTCCTCATCCTCTTCATCGTCATCCTCCTCTAGGTTAACATTGAACTCCTCTATAACAGGGCCACTGTCTGAATGAAGAATATAATGTTCTTCATAGTCCTCAAAATTATCATCGTAAAAATTTTCATTGTCAGAGTTTTCGTGATTACTACCACTACCGTTTTCATCCTCACCTTCAAAATAACCATTCATCAGCTGCTCAATGGTGTCTGCGTTATTGCCTGAGGCGAGGAGGGCATTGCTCGGGGCATTGCTGGGATGAGTGTGGCCTAGATTACGCTGATTCTCTGCCGCCTCCTCAGTATTGACCTCTGCAGGGTCCAAAGTCTCCAGTAAACTGTTGTCCAGTTGTATCTGTTGACCTCCCCCCTGACTTATTTGGTCATCATAATAATGTTCAAGATCTGGATTTTCCATTTCTTCTTCATCTTCATTTGTATCCTCATCACGATCCTCATCATGATCATCATCATTCTCCCCAAGAGTTCGAGCGATTCTCTGATAACGACTCTCACGTAACACACCTTTTGCGCGCTGCGTTTTCGGGTGATCTGGGCCGAGGATTTCCTCACTTACACGTGCCCACTTTTTGAAATACTCATAGGCTTTTTTGAAGTCATTATTATCTTCGTACACAATTCCTATGTTAATGTAGAGCCTAGATGTTAGGATGTGGTACTCTCCATACATCTGCATACACAGATCCATCGCCTCGTTATATAGCTGCAAAGACAAAACACAGCCTTGTACATGCAGTCTAATACCAGATCTCAAAACCAGTTTCAATTTCCATGACTAATATCAGAGTTTGATAAACATTATATAAAATGGAAATGAGTTTGTGACCCTTTTTATCGCATGTATTATAAAATTATATGATCTTGGTCACAGTTTTTACCAGAAAAGCTAGAGAAATGCCAGCAAAGCACTGCTCCAAATTCATATCATTACTCTGAGTGCCATTGCACGTCTTACAGGTAAAACAAGTGCTGTATAATTATTTAAATTTCGTGGGGATGAAATACAATGTGGACTTAGGTGAGGGTCAGCTTGTATACATTTACAATGTGGACTTAGGTGAGGGTCAGCTTGTATACATTTACAATGTGGACTTAGGTGAGGGTCAGCTTGTATACATTTACAATGTGGACTTAGGTGAGGGTCAGCTTGTATACATTTACAATGACACACTACACAAATGTTTAATATGTGATGTTATCATAATTATGTCACATGAAGTGCTGGAATTCAAAACATCATGAATACCAAAATGATTCCATTTTTACACATATTTCGCACAATTGAATTGAAAAATTAGACTTTCCAAATTAATCCTCAATAATGAAGATTGTTGAAACTTCTAAGTGCTAAGCAACTTTAACAGATATCACTTTCTCATCCCCCAAATATTCTTTTAAAAATTAGAAGTGAATATAAATTAATGAGTTTTGACTCGAACTAATACATTTTGAATGTATGTAAACACAGGAGTGCCACTTCACAAAATTCAAAGGGGTAAGTTGAAAATAGACATGTAAAATTGTGAAAATTGTAAATGAAACTGTCATCAAAATTGGTAGTTTAACATGAAGATATAAAATCCCGCATAAAGTACCCACTTTTAACTGTTCCATACTTCCACGGCGAGCCAGGACACCCTTCGTCATCAGGGCTTCTGCATAGTGTCCCATGTCATTGAGCTACAACGATGTTATGGTCGGTAAATATAACACATTGTGTCCCATGTCATTTAACTACAACGATGTTATAGTCAGAAAATATAACACATAGTGTCCCATGTCATTTAACTACAATGATGTTATAGTCAGATAATATAACACATAGTGTCCCATGTCATTTAACTACAATGATGTTATAGTCTGAAAATATAACACATAGTGTCCCATGTCATTTAACTACAATGATGTTATAGTCAGAAAATATAACACATAGTGTCCCATGTCATTTAACTACAACGATGTTATAGACGCAATTATAACACATAGTGTCACATGTCATTTAGCTACAATGATGTTATAGTCAGAAAATATAACACATAGTGTCCCATGTCATTTAACTACAACGATGTTATGGTCAGAAATCATAACACATAGTATCCCATGTCATTTAACTACAACGATGTTATAGTCAGAAATCATAACACATAGTGTCCCATGTCATTTAGCTATAATGATGTTATATCTGAAATTATAACATATAGTGTCCCCTGTCATTGAGCTACAACGATGTTATAGTCAGAAATTATAACACATAGTGTCCCATGTCATTTAGCTATAATGATGTTATATCTGAAATTATAACATATAGTGTCCCCTGTCATTGAGCTACAACGATGTTATAGTCAGAAAATATAACACAGAGTGTCCCATGTCATTTAACTACAATCATGTTATAGTCTGAAATTATAACACATAGTATCCCATGTCATTTAACTACAACAATGTTATAGTCGGAAATTATAACACATAGTGACCCATGTCATTTAGCTATAGTGATGTTATATCTGAAATTATAACATATAGTGTCCCCTGCCATTGAGCTACAACGATGTTATGGTCAGAAATCATAACACATAGTGTCCCATTTCATTTAACTACAAAGATGTTATAGACGCAATTATAACACATAGCGCCCCATGTCATTTAGCTACAATGATGTTATAGTCAGAAAATCTAACACATAGTGTCCCATGACATTTAACTACAATGATGTTATAGTCTGAAACCATAACACATAGTGTCCCATTTCATTTAACTACAAAGATGTTATAGCCTGAAATAAAAACACATAGTGTCCAATGTCATTGAGCTACAACGATGGTATAGTCAGAAAATATAACATCGTTGTAGTTAGATGACATGGGACACTATGTATTATATTTTCTGACTATAACACCGTTGTAGCTCAATGACAGGGGACACTATATGTTATAATTTCCGACTATAACATTGTTGTAGTTAAATTACATGGGACACTATGTGTTATTATTTCTGACCATAACATCGTTGTAGCTCAATGGCAGGGGACACTATATGTTATAATTTCCGACTATAACATCGTTGTAGCTGAATGACAGGGGACACTATATGTTATAATTTCCGACTATAACATTGTTGTAGTTAAATTACATGGGACACTATGTGTTATTATTTCTGACCATAACATCGTTGTAGTGTCCCATGTCATTTAACTACAACGATGTTATAGACGCAATTATAACACATAGTGCCCCATGTCATTTAGCTACAATGATGTTATAGTCAGAAAATATAACACATAGTGTCCCATGTCATTTAACTACAAAGATGTTATAGTCTGAAATCAAAACACATAGTGTCCAATGTCATTGAGCTACAACGATGTTATAGTCAGAAAATATAACACATATTGTCCCATGTCATTTAACTACAACAATGTTATAGTCAGAAATCATAACACATAGTGTCCCATGTCATTTAGCTACAATGATGTTATAGTCAGAAAATATAACACATAGTGTCCCATGTCATTTAACTACAACGATGTTATAGTCGGAAAATATAACACATATTGTCCAATGTCATTTATGAACTTCAACGATGTTATAGTCGGAAAATATAACACATAGTGTCCTTTGTCATTTAACTACAACGATGCTATAGACGGAAATTATAACACATAGTGTCCCATGTCATTTAACTACGACGATGTTATAGTCTGAAATTATAACACATAGTGTCCCATGTCATTTAACTTCAACGATGTTATAGTCAGAAATTATAACACAAAGTGTCCCATGTCATTTAACTACAACGATGTTATGGTCAGAAATTATAACACATAGTGTCCCATGTCATTAAACTACAATGATGTTATAGTCAGAAAATATAACACATAGTGTCCCATGTCGTTTAAATATAATATTATTATAGTCAGAAATTTTAACACATAGTATCCCATGTCATTTAACTACAACGATGTTATAGTCAGAAATTATAACACATAGTGTCCCATGTCATTTAACTATAATATTATTATAGTCAGAAATTTTAACACATAGTGTCCCATGTCATTTAACTACAACGATGTTATAGTCAGAAAATATAACACATAGTGTCCCATGTCATTTAACTACATCGATGCTATTGTCTGAAATTATAACACATAGTGTCCCATGTCCTTTAACTACAACGATGTTATAGTCAGAAATCATAACACATAGTGTCCCATGTCATTTAGCTACAATGATGTTATAGTCTGAAATTATAACACATAGTGTCCCATGTCATTGAGCTACAACGATGTTATGGTCGGTAAATATAACACATAGTGTCCCATGTCATTTAACTTCAACGATGTTATAGTCAGAAATTATAACACAAAGTGTCCCATGTCATTTAACTACAACGATGTTATTGTCTGAAATTATAACACATAGTGTCCCATGTCCTTTAACTACAACGGTGTTATAGTCAGAAATCATAACACATAGTGTCCCATGTCATTTAGCTACAATGATGTTATAGTCTGAAATTATAACACATAGTGTCCCATGTCATTTAGCTACCACGATGTTATAGTCGGAAATTATAACACATAGTGTCCCATGTCATTTAACTTCAACGATGTTATAGTCAGAAATTATAACACAAAGTGTCCCATGTCATTTAACTACAACGATGTTATTGTCTGAAATTATATCACATAGTGTCTATAACACATAGTGTCCCATGTCATTTAACTACGACGATGTTATAGTCTGAAATTATAACACATAGTGTCCCATGTCATTTAACTAAAACGATGTTATAGTCAGAAATTATAACACTTAGTCTCCCATGTCATTTAACTATAATATTATTATAGTCAGAAATTTTAACACATAGTGTCCCATGTCATTCAACTACAACATTGATATTGTCTGAAATTATAACACATAGTTTCCTATGTCATTAAACTACAACAATGTTATAGTCATAAATCATAACACATAGTGTCCCATGTCATTTACCTACAACATTGATATTGTCTGAAATTATAACACATAGTTTCCTATGTCATTAAACTACAACAATGTTATAGTCATAAATCATAACACATAGTGTCCCATGTCATTTACCTACAACATTGATATTGTCTGAAATTATAACACATAGCGTCCTATGTCATTAAACTACAACAATGTTATAGTCATAAATCATAACACATAGTGTCCCATGTCATTTACCTACAACATTGATATTGTCTGAAATTATAACACATAGCGTCCTATGTCATTAAACTACAACAATGTTATAGTCAGAAATCATAACACATAGAGTCCCATGTCATTTAACTACAACGATGTTATTGTCTGAAATTATATCACATAGTGTCCAATGTCCTTTAACTACAACGATGTTATAGTCAGAAATCATAACACCTAGTGTCCCATGTCATTTAACTACAACGATGTTATTGTCTGAAATTATATCACATAGTGTCTATAACACATAGTGTCCCATGTCATTTAACTACAATGATGTTATAGTCTGAAATTATAACACATAGTGTCCCATGTCATTGAGCTACAACAATGTTATGGTCGGTAAATATAACACATAGTGTCCCAAGTCATTTAACTACAACGATGTTATAGTCAGAAATTATAACACAAAGTGTCCCATGTCATTTAACTACAACGATGTTATAGTCAGAAAATATAACACATAGTGTCCCATGTTATTGAGCTACAACAATGTTATGGTCGGTAAATATAACACATAGTGTCCCATGTCATTTAACTACAACAATGTTATAGTCGGAAATTATAACACATAGTGTCCCATGTCATTTAACTACGACGATGTTATAGTCTGAAATTATAACACATAGTGTCCCATGTCATTTAACTTCAACGATGTTATAGTCAGAAATTATAACACAAAGTGTCCCATGTCATTTAACTACAACGATGTTATTGTCTGAAATTATATCACATAGTGTCTATAACACATAGTGTCCCATGTCATTTAACTACGACGATGTTATAGTCTGAAATTATAACACATAGTGTCCCATGTCATTTAACTTCAACGATGTTATAGTCAGAAATTATAACACAAAGTGTCCCATGTCATTTAACTACAACGATGTTATTGTCTGAAATTATATCACATAGTGTCTATAACACATAGTGTCCCATGTCATTTAACTACATCGATGCCCATGTCATTTAACTACAACGATGTTATAGTCAGAAATCATAACACATAGTGTCCCATGTCATTTAACTACATCGATGCTATTGTCTGAAATTATAACACATAGTGTCCCATGTCCTTTAACTACAACGATGTTATAGTCAGAAATCATAACACCTAGTGTCCCATGTCATTTAACTACAATGATGTTATAGTCTGAAATTATAACACATAGTGTCCTATGTCATTAAGCTACAACAATGTTATAGTCAGAAATCATAACATATAGTGTCCCATGTCATTTAACTACAACATTGATATTGTCTGAAATTATAACACATAGTGTCCCATGTCATTTAACTACATCGATGCCCATGTCATTTAACTACAACGATGTTATAGTCAGAAATTATAACACATAGTGTTCCATGTCGTTTAGCTACAAAGATATTTTTGTTGGAAATAATACCACATAGTGTTCCATGTCGTTTAGCTACAAAGTTGTTATTGTTGGAAATTATACCACATAGTGTAATATGTAAAATCTCACATACCAGCTCGTCATCTTACTCTAACTGTTCAGTCTTAGTTTAACCAACATTGCGCAGTGAGACAAACTATAACTAATCCCTATTTCACTTTATAGCAGCACAAAACAACATGCTGTCTAGTTAAAACATATCCCTGCAGTACCAAAAATAATATATATCACATACATTAAAACACCCTAAAACAAATCTTTGATTCATTATATTTAAATAATTCTTTAATATGAGGCTTCCAAATTTTGTTAACATATTGCATGTTTTCTTTTGTAATTTTCCAATCTAATGTATGAAAATTGAATAAAATGTTCATTTCTTAATAACAAGTTATCTTAAAAGCCAAACTCTCTTGGAAAGAAGGTGCATAATCTATCATATATCCTGAAACACCTCACCAGCCTTACTCACCTCCTCAAATATCTTGAGTGCCTTGTCTATATATTTATTGCCCTCAGCGAGAGCTGCCTCGCCCGTTAGTTCTGGTCCGCCACCACAGGCCTCCCAACTCTCCATATTAAAGGCTAGCTTCATCAGACTCATACCTAGCTTGAACTGTCAACAAACAACAACACCATGACAATGACAAAGTTATCGAATGTTAAAGGCTAGCCTCATTAGACTCATACCTAGCTTGAACTGTCAACAAACAACAACACCATGACAATGACAAAGTTATCGAAGGAGAAAATATTTGCATTATGATGGTTCATAGAGACGAACCCATCCAAGATCACTGACTTTTTTTCTCTCTATCAGGTGTGTTGGACCATTTACTTCTTATTCACAGCAACAAATGCATCAACAATGATTTTCAACAATTACCCAGTTGAACCAATCTAGTGGTGGATGTTCAGTAAAACCTTGCTATAATATAATGCATCTTGTTTCATTTGCAAACTGGATTACTGCCAGCATATTTCAATGTCTCCATTTCCTTTATTTCAATAATTACTGCATGTCTTGCTCGATATATAGCCAAACACCTAATATTTACTAAGATACTTCAAGCTATCTTAACAACAGCTATTGAGGAAACAAGTTACAGAATGGAGTTGTCTACCTTGTGATATGTGCCGGGAAGTTTTTTCCTCAAGGCTATGGACTTCCTCCCGTAGTGTATAGTTTTCCTGAGATCTGGGAGCTGACTAGGTGACACAAAGTCATTCAGTTTCAGTTTCTGAAACACCACACAATTAACATTTTATACCGAGTGATAAAAGGATTTCCATTTCTAATTGAAGTTTTGTTTTTTTACATTTTTAAATATAAGTCACTAAGGTGATAAACAATGCAGTTTGTTAGCCATCTTTTGACGTACCTCATCATATATCTCGGCCATGAGAGCATACAGCTCCACCATGCGATGTGGCCGTGCTCCGAGCTCCTTCTCCTCAATCTTCATGGCTGTCCGTAGCAGTTCTAACGCCTCCAGGTATTTACCTGCCTGTATCCTGTATATACATACAGTATCAATGAATCACTATTTTATTACATAGTAAAATATTGCCTTGAATTTGGATGCAAGTTAAGATTATATATGATACAAATTACAAAACTAACATCAATCTCCTTTCCAAAGGTTTTGGACACTTAAGTATTCTGTAAAGTAATTTATAAAGAATTGTAAAATGCACTTGGTAACAAACATACCAGGTTTATTTAAGGGAGATAACTCTTGTAAATAGTTTGGCATGACACATCATACTAGATTAACTGAAATCTCAACCATCTTTATGTTTTTAGCTTTCACTTTTAATGTTAAACAGTTGTAAGAGTTATTGCCATGGTGACTGTGTCATGTGTAGAATATGTCTACTTTCCTAACAGAACTTGTAATATTATAACCCTATTCTCCTACTCTGTTGGAGTAATGCCTTTACTGTACCTATTTTGTGTTCGGGAGAAAGATTTTGACAAGAAATCGAGAGTGCTACCTGTCATGCAATGTTAGCCTCCTAAGGCAGATTTTTCTTTGAAATATTTGTTAAGGTATTTTTTTTCGTCGATCCTATTTCCATTTTCAGAGATAAACAATATATAGCATAAAATTCAATAGATCATGAGTAATCCCAAAAATACACTCATAGTTCATTTGTTCTGTTCAGATGCTAAACATTTCAATTCTCGATCAAGTCAGCTGAATATAAAATGTCTACAAAATGATTATATGTACTACCATGCAAAGTGAAACTGTATGACTCACACAACCCTGCAGACTTTCTCGTATCGTATAGAAACATTCTCCTCATTGACCATGTCGTCCTCCTCATACTGTGTCAGTGCTTTCTCATAGTAAGTAATCATCTCAGCAGCCGTACCAACCTGTAACAATAAGGTTTACTACCATCACGTTTCCAGTGTTTCATTCAGATGTCTGTTATTGTTGCCATCAGAGGCACTTCTTGTCCTTCCCCATCACCTACAATTAACTTTCCTCCATGCTAACTATATGTTCCAGTACACTTATTATTTCAGACCCTTTGATGAACAGAAATAGTTTCAAACCCTAACCCTCATACTGATATCTGAATACAGCTAAAAGCATCAAACTGAGATTGGTGGGACTATGCAAAACGATAAATATGGTACTCAAGATATCTGTCTGAGAATGCAAGTAGGTGTATTCCTAGGACATCAAGAGGGGAATGGTTTTCTTGTTTCTTTTATGATCACACATCCAGGTATCTAGAAAATAAATCTGTACATCAATTTATAGGAGAACTACGACACAAAGATGCTTTAACTTCATGAAGTTAAAACCTAGAATATATTCCTGCACCATAATCTCATAATGTTTTTATTAAAATGAAAATTTGAACTAATTTCTTTTCCAAAATTAAATCAATAGCAACTAGAACTGTGAACGAAACTTAAATACTCCAAACAAATATGTATCCACAGATAGACAGACTGACGACCGAACACCCTTTTTCCAGAACACACTCCCTCCTCACAGGATAGCAGGAGAGGAGAGTTACGGTGGCTGTAATAGATACCTTGCGCCAGTATGCCAGCAGTCTGGAGCTGAATTCCTCGTGGTACAGTTGATCAAATATCCTCCAGTCACAGAGGCACTGGGCCAGACGGTAACTGTCATCTAAACAGACCAGCTGGCACGGATATTCCTGTTAATGTAGAAAACAGCGGATTTCAACATAGCTGTTGGAAAAGGGAATTTTCCAAAAGTATTTACAAGTATTATTTATCAAATAGTAAAACTAAGGTACAATCAGACTACTTCAATATAGTTCTGGGTTTTGAGCATACTGTATAGTTTTTAATTTCGTGGGGCTAATATTTCAAGTTCCCCCCCAATTAGAACTAGTTCATGTGGATTAAAATATTGCGTTATATGGGTACTACTATGTTTGGAAGATTGGATTTTTACAAGTATTTTGTGAAAATAAAGTGAAATGTAATATTGAATTGTTGTAGCTTCATTATTCGATAGTAAACGGGTATAAAACAAAGTTTTTTTCCTTTGTCTCTGTAACAAGAGGCCCAGGGGCCTTAATAGCTCACCTGGTATTTCATTTTCAATTTAAAACCTGCTGAGTACCATACAGGTTTCTCAAAGGAGTACAAGAAACAAAGTTGCAAGAAGAACTACATGTAAATCTATTTTGGTGGGTAAGACACCAAGATAATGAGTTTCCAGCTTATGTCCCAAGGAGGGGGTGGGGTGATGTGTTCTTTTCCCAAAGATGCTCTGGAAGAAGTTTGATGAAAAACCCTTAATCCCAATGGTCGAAGAAGGATTTTAAAGATTTAACCTCTATTTCCCCTACTGGGCACCGCCCTTCTGCCCCCTGGGAGACCACACCCACTGCTTATACAAAATTGAGTCCCCTTGGCCCAAGGATGCTCCAGACTAAATTAGGATAAAATCCCTTAATCCCTATGGTAGAAGAGGGGTTTTAAAAGTTTTACCTCTATTTCCCCTATTGGGCCCCGCCTCTCTGCCTCCAGGGGGGTCAGACACACCGTTGATACAAAATTGGTTCACATTCACCCAAGGATGCTTCATACCAAATTTGGACAAAATCCTGTCATTCGTACAGAAGAAGAAGGATTTTGAAGAATTTGCTATGTTTCCCCTATTGGGCCCCCCTCAGGCCCCTGGGGGGCCAGACCCACAGTTTATACAAAATTGGATCCCCTTCACCCAATGATGCTTCAGACCAAATATGGAACAAATCCTTTCATTCCTACAGAAGAAGAAGGATTCTAAAGAACTTGCTATATTTTCCCTATTGGGCCCCGCCCCTCAGCCCCCAGGGGGGCCAGACCCACCATTTATACAAAATTGGTTCCCCTTTACCCAAGGATGCTCCACATCCTCTGAGCCATTAAGGACTAGTAGCGTTTTAAAGGAAAAAGTTGACGGACGACGGACACCGAACGACGGACGCTGCGCCATGTCATAACCTCACTTGGCCCTTCGGGTCAATACAATACAGAGATTATAATTCAGGGTGTTGTTATTAGCTGGGTATTTAATTTTGCGCTGCCTTTGATGACAGGGAATTTGTTGAATTAAATTCCCCACAAATATTACCAACAATACAGTTTTCAAAAGTAAAGTACATGTACGCTGTACTACCTTACCAACAATGAAAGCTGGCAAAGCATCTGTTATAGGATTGTTATACAAAGTAATATGTACAAAACGTAAACTTCCGACTGACCTCTACATATCTGTCCACATTGTCCAGGTGTTGGAAGTGGTCAGCAAGCTTTTTGTGCCACCAGTAATAGGAATCTGATTTCTCTTGACCATTGGCCTTCTCCTCGTCACTCTTCTGGAAGTATCTGTAACCCATGGTAATATGGTGTATTTTAGAAAGTGTCAAAACAATTTACTGTTTTATGGTAAAATCAAACTGTTGACCATATTTCTGTCCCAATACTCAGCTTATGTAAGTATCCAACCTTTAATGAAGTCATGGCAAATATTTAATACAGTGAAATTGTACAATTTACGCTAGATATTTGTGTTAAAAATCTCAATTCATAGTTCTGGTTTTAATGACAGCCTGATTCTTCTTTTCTTGATTTGTTTAAAGGAGTGAAACAACAAGAAGCAGTCTCACAATTAAATCACACATTATTCAAAAATAAGTTTTCCCACTACATGTGATTTACAGTTCCATAAAAAAGACATACTTTTTTTTTAATAAACCAGCATATAAGTTTAATTGATTGTCATATTTTTTTTTCTTTATCACATTTTTTCATAACGAATGATATCAAGAGGAATGCACTGTATCAGTTATTATTAGTATAACATACCTAACAGCCCATCAACAAAGAACCGGGCCAGGGGAGCTTACAATTATAACGGTCAAAAAGGCATTGTATATCATAATTTTACTTCAAAAGTCAGAAAGATGTCTGAACCTTTTTATGACAGCTTTGCTGAGAGCTCGGTGGTAGAAGTCAAGCCGCCCCTCACGATTGTCCCCGTATGGCCGCAGGAAGGGCTGAACAGTTGAGAACACTTTTGCCCACTTCTTGTCTGAAAGAGGTCCGACGTTTTTGGTACTTTCCTTCTCGGACGATTCCTTCTCCTCTGTCAAACGAAGGAGTTACCACATTATTGTTGTTAATGTTACCATGTTATTGTTGTTAATGTTACCGTGTTATTGTTGCTAATGTTACCGTGTTATTGTTGTTAATGTTACCGTGTTATTGTTGCTAATGTTACCGTGTTATTGTTGTAAATGTTACCATGTTATTGTTGTTAATGTTGCCATGTTATTGTTGTTAATGTTACCATGTTATTCTTGTTAATGTTACCATGTTATTGTTGTTAATGTTTCCATGTTATTGTTGTAAATGTTACCATGTTATTGTTGTTAATGTACCATGTTATTGTTGTTAATGTTACCATGTTATTGTTGATAATGTTACATGTTATTGTTGTTAAAATATTTAACGCTGACTGCAGTTCATCAGTCTTTGTACAGAAATCATTCACAACATGCTGATGTTTATTGTTGTAAATGTTACCATGTTATTGTTGTTAATGTTGCCATGTTATTGTTGTTAATGTTACCATGTTATTGTTTTTAATGTTACCATGTTATTGTTGTTAATGTTACAACATTATTGTTGTTAATGTTACCGTGTTATTGTTGTTAATGTTCCCGTGTTATTGTTGTAAATGTTACCATGTTATTGTTGTTAATGTTACCGTGTTATTGTAGTTAATGTTACCGTGTTATTGTTGTAAATGTTACCATGTTATTGTTGTTAATGTACCATGTTATTGTTGTTAATGTTACCATGTTATTGTTTTTAATGTTACCATGTTATTGTTGTTAATGTTACAACATTATTGTTGTTAATGTTACCGTGTTATTGTTGTTAATGTTTCCATGTTATTGTTGTAAATGTTACCATGTTATTGTTGTTAATGTTGCCATGTTATTGTTGTTAATGTTACCATGTTATTGTTGATAATGTTACCATGTTATTGTTGTTAATGTTACCACATTATTGGTGTTAATGTTACCGTGTTATTGTTGTTAATGTTTCCATGTTATTGTTGTAAATGTTACCATGTTATTGTTGTTAATGTTGCCATGTTATTGTTGTTAATGTTACCATGTTATTCTTGTTAATGTTACCATGTTATTGTTGTTAATCTTAACATGTTATTGTTGTTAATGTTACCATGTTATTGTTGTAAATGTTACCATGTTATTGTTGTTAATGTACCATGTTATTGTTGTTAATGTTACCATGTTATTGTTTTTAATGTTACCATGTTATTGTTGTTAATGTTACCATGTAATTGTTGTTAATGTTACCGTGTTATTGTTGTTAATGTTTCCATGTTATTGTTGTAAATGTTACCATGTTATTGTTGTTAATGTTGCCATGTTATTGTTGTTAATGTTACCATGTTATTCTTGTTAATGTTACCATGTTATTGTTGTTAATGTTAACATGTTATTGTTGTTAATGTTACCATGTTATTGTTTTTAATGTTACCATGTTATTGTTGTTAATGTTACAATGTTATTGTTGTTAATGTTACCATGTTATTGTTGTAAATGTTACCATGTTATTGTTGTTAATGTTACCATGTTATTGTTGTTAATGTTACCATGTTATTGTTGATAATGTTACCATGTTATTGTTGTTAAAATATTTAACGCTGACTGCAGTTCATCAGTCTTTGTACAGAAATCATTCACAACATGCTGATGTATCTGTTCATTGATTTTTAAATTATTTTAGAAAAATCTTTTTGTGTTCACAATGCGGTCAGAAGTTCTTGTTAACTGTTCAGAAACAAAACAACACCTTCTATCTCTTGTTCTTCAGAACTCATTCAAACTTCTGTCTCAAATTAAATATTTGTTATTTTATTTATAGTTTTATGCTTACAAAATATTTCAATAATTGTACTACCCTTTGGTACAAATGAACTTCAGTAGGCGAGATGTATATTCACAATCATTTCACTAAGATCAGCGGGATCTACTACAAGATAATCAGCGTTGAATGCAAATATGCAGTAAAAGTTTCAGGTAATTAACATGTAGTTCTTTAAAATACATTTCATCTATTTCTGGTGATGGTCTTTGTTTTATCTATATTCTTGATAACACTTTAACAATGTCATCTTTGGTTTTTAACAAAGACCAGGCATTATATTCTATATTCCAAGGTCATATTCTCCACCAACAATTTGCAAATGAAGCACTTTTTTTATTAACAACTAAATCATACCTTTTTCATCAAAGGGACTAGGTGGCATGAGGGTGGCCTCATTTCCAAGGATCTGTCGTAGTTCGCACTCCAGCAGTCCCGCTGAGGAGGCCTCCAACAGACAGAGTGTGGCCACAACCAGATGACCGCCTGCCTCAGTCTCCAGTCGTGTTAACAGGTACTCCAGGAGGCTGTATAATAAGTTATCTCCCTTTAATCGAGAAGCCTTGTCCCAAAGCTGGTACCGTATTTCAGACTTTTTGTCATTATAATTTTTATCATTAATATTTCACAAGGTATTTACTTTTGGCAAACATTTGTGAGGATTGTCATATGTGAATTTTGAGCACTCACGTCTATTTGTAGCAAAAACATGAATTAATTCATTCATTTGTTTTCATAAAACACTGTATATGTATTGCACACTCATGCTGCTATTCATAACAGACATTTAATTCGTGACCCGATGGTTTTTGACGAAGTGAGACCTTACGTACCTAAGAAGCCCGTCTGGTAGCTCTGTGATTTTCCTGTCTACATCACAAAGGTCGTTGAGCAGGCGGATTTCCTCACATGAGACAGTGAGCCAGAGAGGGTTTTCTGACGTCTGCTTGGCCATAAGACGGTCCAGCTGACTTAAACTCAGACACCGGTTATATTTCTTCAGCAGGTCTGTCACTATTTTCTGATAAGAGAAAAAGACAATTGTAATTTTGTAGAATTTGAAGTCTGACTTACTTCTTTATTGGTTTTGATTTAGTCTGTGAAAAAAAAATAAAAAATAAAGACTGTTCTTCAATATCAATCGGGAAATCAAGTTCTGTTCTTAATAAAGATATATAATTGTATGCTAAATTTTCATTTTTGATGATTCAGGAACGTTTGTGATTCAAATGAATATATCTAGGCCAGTATTCAATTTAACAAAAAAGAATGAGGTTATATGTATAAAAAAAAGTTTCCTGGCATTATTTTCATTAATATATATTATGGTACTGATTTCCTTGAAAATAATAACCTCTGCTTGTATAGGTATCATTCTTCAGGTGATTCTGTCCACTGCAAATCAATGTACTTGGCAACACAACCTCATCAATAAGATCACCTTTGGCCCTGATCGACTTCATTTGTTGAAACAACACAAAAATAAAATCTGGCAAAGCTTAACTGTCGCCAGATTGGCAGACTTATACCCGTGCCTTCACCATGAACTGAAGGAATAGTTATTTGAGAACGTTTTTAAAAGGGCCCTCTTGAGCACAGTACTTGTACCTGGCAATGTAGCATGACATTTAATCTCCGTAACCTAGTTTTGGTCGCGACAACAGGGGAGTATTAACCCCGCGAAATGAAACAACTATACAGTGGACAACCTACCTTGCAAGATAATTTACCTGTTGAGACCATTTGCATGACTTCATTAGCTAACTGAGGAGAAAACATACCTTGCGAGACTCCATATCCAGGGGATTTATCTCAAGTACAATAGGCTTGGTTTCCCTAGTAACCAAGGTCTTGTGTTGGGGGGTGTCCTCTATTGTAGAAAACACACAGCGCACTCGGGGAGCCAGTTTCCTAGGTAACCAACTCATCACCAAGGCTGCCTGCTCTTCAGCAAACTAAAAGTAAATCATTTAATATAAAAAGTATTTATTCTATTTAAAATGCTGAATTAATTGAACACTTCAAAGAGTCCTTAATACATTTCGTCTAAACACTTGTATATTAGTGATTATTTACAATACAATGTACAGTATACAACATTTAATTTGCACAGTAGTTTTGCAATTATGGAAAAATTCATACAAAGTTCATACAATGTTAAACTTGCAATTAAGTTTCAAGGTTATTACATGTGCAGTGTTAATTCACTACTTTTTATTTTCCAAAGAATTTCAAAAGAATACAAATATCCTTGATACCTCAATTAGATTGCAAATGATAACTGATTGACAAGTACACTGTACCTGGTTGAGGGCATCTATGAAGATGATCACTGATTGATAAGTACACTGTACCTGGTTGAGGGCGTCTATGAAGATGATAACTGTTCGATAAGTACACTGTACCTGGCTGAGGGCATCTATGAAGATGATAACTGATTGATAAGTACACTGTACCTGGCTGAGGGCGTCTACGAAGATGATAACTGATTGATAAGTACACTGTACCTGGTTGAGGGCGTCTACGAAGATGATAACTGATTGATAAGTACACTGCACCTGGTTGAGGGCATCTATGAAGATGATCACTGATTGATAAGTACACTGTACCTGGCTGAGGGCGTCTATGAAGATGATCACTGATTGATAAGTACACTGTACCTGGTTGAGGGCGTCTATGAAGATGATCACTGGCCGTGTGTTGGGGTTTGATAGCATGCTGCAACACATCTGAGCAGTTGATTCAATCCCCCGCGGGATGTTAGAGTCCTATAATTACATGAAGAGGAATCATGGTAAGTTAAAAAGCCACATATTAGATTTTTGCATATTCTGATACATAAATCATACAAACATCCTATTATCTATTTCAATTAAATCGTTTCTTTATGAGAAAGTTTTTAGGGCAATACATTATAGATGTGTAACAATGATTTTGTAAATTTACAGCAATGAAAATGAATACATGAAAGAAACACATAAACAGCACAGATGACAGATAGACTTACATTGAGGACAGTATACTTATATTGATGACAGGTAAACTTACATTGATGACAGGTACACTCACAACGATGACAGGTACACTTACATTGATGACTTCCATTTCCCTGAGCAGACGTTTAAGCATGGCTTCTAGACACGTAGACCCTGGTGCTGCACCAACAAAGTGAAAGAAAACATGCCACTTCTGTCCTGATGTACTGTAACAGAGGGAACAGTGAGATGTTATATACATGAGTCTTATGTCCTGATGTACTGTAACAGAGGAAACAGTGAGATGTAATATACATGAGTCTTATGTCCTGATGTACTGTAACATAGGAAACAGTGAGATGTTATATACATGAGTCTTATGTCCTGATGTACTGTAACAGAGGGAACAGTGAGATGTAATATACATGAGTCCTATGTCCTGATGTACTGTAACAGAGGAAACAGTGAGATGTAATATACATGAGTC